TTCAGTTTCGACTATACTCGGAATACTAATATTGCGTTTTCGAGATCGCTTCGTGAAGGACGTGGGCTGAATTTGTATGTCGATTATTGTAGCTATAGATTTTCAAAACATCGTAAATAGAAAATGAATTGACTTAATTTGTCTTGTTGTTTCTTGTTCAAGTGTGATTGCTATGCATGAGATTTTGGGTTCAAAATTGGCGAAATATGCAATTGGAGTCTTTTTGTTAGTATAGTTGTAAGCATTTGTTTTAAGGTTCGTAACTTGGGTTAGGCGAGTGTTTGGCTTCGTTGAGTTACTAGTAATGATGAGGAATTTGTGTATTCGTCCCTGACGTTATGGGAATTGGATTTATTATAAGGGACTCTTAACATTTTAGTAAAAAGTGATGTCACTTGGATTTCTTTATTGGATAAAGGGCAGGCCTGTATTTTTTAGTTTTATACATATTATATAATTTATTTTACTAAGGACTGAAATAATCGTTATTTTTATTCCTATATTTGCTCGCAAAAGCATGTGTTTAACATGCTTTTTGCATTTGCTAGCAAAAACCTCTATAAAACATACACAGGCTAATAATATACTGAACCAAACAGAAAGTTACGCAGTAAACAGGTCCATATGAATTGAAACAATGCCAAAATGCAGAGCATCTTACGTTCAGTGAAAGTGTTCTTGCAAATGGCTTGTAATAAAGTAATTTTTATTGACGGTAAATAAAAGAAGGTAATAATAAATAATGGGGTCAGAAACCCTGCTATTGTTTCGCTCATAATATACGCAATAATTTTGATATGCTTTTGTTACGTTTTATATCGTTTTAGTAAAAAATATTTTAGAGTTTTTGCTGGTGTGCGGATCTTAGGATCAAGTTTGGTCTTTGAAGTTATTGATGTGGTTAAAATACTCATTCATTGTTTCTGTAGCCGGTATTTTAGGTTGCCTTCTTACATTTATTTATATAATATGTTATGTCCCCCCAAACAACACACGTAAAAAATGTAAGTAAGTAAAGGTGATACATATTCTTTCTGAAATTTCTTCCAGCACCTGAGACTGGAGTAATTGAGATATAAAAGACAATGTGTAACAAAAGAAGAAGATTAACAATAATAGGTGAGGCCTAATTACCCCCCTCTCCTTCCCCAATCCCTGAATCCCCAACAATCCTCAAATTCCTAATTCCCATAAAAAAAGAATTTAATATTTTTAAGGAACACTATTTAATATATGTAACGTGTTATATAAAATTATTAGATGCGGACTTGGAAACATTTAACCAACTTATTTTGTATGGAAAAAAATACGATGGTATATTAAATAAACATACATATATAACCTCACGCCTGTCTCCAATGGTGGTAGAGGCTATACCAGAGAATATGAAACGCCTACGCATAGTGCTACGATCCTTACATTCCTCTTCCACTTCATCAACAGTTATCATGATGCATATGTATTTTATAAAAATATTGTATTATTAAATTCGAAAGTTACGCAATATTATTCGGTATTCTACAGAACCCACATCTTTCAAATTCGTCTCTTACTTAAAAAGAAAATTTCCACCATCAGTGTCATCCTCGTCTCATCTCGTTAGATATGCTTAAGTCTTATAACATTATAGTGAAAAGTGGCTTTCTCTAAGTTAATAATGTCATTTTGATATCACATTTTTTTTTTTGTTACAGATGGAACATGTAAGTAATTGGACTATAACTATGTATGGTGATGATTATGTGCTAACTTTCTTATTATGTGTTTTTTTTTTTTTGTTGGGGAACTTCATAATCTCCCGCCCGGGTGAGGCGAGAGGGAGTGTCAGACTCTTACTGACTAAAAACCACCCCGTTCCTACTCCTGCACTTCGAGCCGGAGCCCCGGCAACCCGTTAAGCCCTCCGCGGCCCGTATCCGTATGTAGTGACCTGATGGTTCCTCCTCTGAAGGGTTATAAGACTTTATGGTTTTTGTGGTGCATAATTATGATAGACTAGTTTCTGCCAGCGGACTTGCCCTCGTTCCCGTGAAATATAAAGTGATATGTGTTATTCCAGACCATATTAGACTTCGATTCCTTTCATCTCGATCCCTGAAGCCGTTTTGATGAGAAGGAGTTTTTTTTTTATGGCAGTGTAGCTGATGACATTTGTTAGCTGTTGTCTCCGCGGGAATCTAGGAATCGATTAAGGCACTATAAATTTTAATTAAATTTTAATCTGCTCGTTTACTGGCTAATTGCCAATTGCTTACCATCAGGATCGCCTGATGGTACCGCCCGATAGGTGACCGCCCATGGACACCCGCAACACTAGAGGTGTTACAAATGCGTTACCAACCTTTTGGGAATTACTAATTTAAGGATCATTGAGGATACGAAGATTGGGGAGATTGGGGTAGGGGTAGGTAATTGAGCCTCCGGTAACCTCACTCACACGACGAAACACAACGCAATGTTGTTTCACATCGGTTTTCTGTGAGGTCGTGGTATCACGCCGAAGCATGGCTCTCCGAAACTATTTATTGGGACGTGCCATTTACGATGCGTGAAGATTATGACACCATCAGGCGACAATCGACTTTGATAACTGCCACATACAGGTTATGTTGATTAAATCTCCTGTTATGTAATAATCGTCACACAAGATAGTCCATCGGTATTTTCCTCGTCACTTGTTTCTTCATACATCAAACATTAAATAGAATAGCAAGTCTGTTTATATAAATTGCTATCGACACATGTTTTTTACCCACAATAATTATCCAAGTTACGTTGGCAACCCTACCCCGCTCTAGTTTAGGAGCGTGCGTGAGAAACATTGCGCTGCGCAATGGCAACATTACTGACTCGCGTTTAGATAAAAAATACGTTCAAATAAACCTAGGTTAGCTTAATTTGTTGCTAATTTTATGTAACTTACCGGATACTGTGTTGTTGCTTGATAAAAAGTAATATTTTGTGGTTATTAGTTCTTTAGGGCTAGGCTAGTAATTTGTTAATGATAGGCATCATTAGTGGTTCAGGGCCTTTTTAGACATTACCTGCTTGCATGTTTAATTTCGTCGAAATATTGATTTTTATTCGTTTCAAAATTATCAATAATACAACGGTAGTTTATTCCAATTTATCCTTTTTTGGATCAATTTGGGCCCAATACAAAAGTACAGTAAGTAGGTACTTTCTATGTATGTTAAATGAACACATACTTTAGTGCCTTTTTTGAGAGGGAAAAATCATGCAATGACTGCTCCCGCCTGGGTGAGGCGAAAGGGATGTCAGACTCTTACTGACTAAAAACCACCCCGTTCCTACTCCTGCACGTCGAGCCGGAGCCCCGGCAACCCACTAAACCCTCCGCTGCTCTGTATGCTTTAGTGTCTTACCTATTAATAGTTGGCATGTCGTTAGCTTATCGGTATAAAAGATAGTTATCAACTCACTTTTATATTATTGTAATAAAAATAGTTACGCAGGTACTTACTTAACAGTCGTACCAGCAAGCATTTTTTAATGGAATAGGAGGCAAACGAGCAGAGCAGGCGCTGATCGCTTACTATCAGGTGATACTGATAGTAAGCGATCAGCGCCGCCCATGGACACCCACAACACCAAAGGGGTCACAGGTGCATTACCGGCCTTTTAAAAATGGTAAAGCGTGGACATTTTTGTACATACCTACTTGAGTAAAACAATTGAAGTCATATTGTTTTACTATTTACTATAACATGGACTGAATCACGAGCGTTACCAGTAAATCCTTATCCTTACTAATATTATAAATCGGAAAGTGAGTTTGTTTGTTTGTTTGTTTGTTCCGACTTCACGCCGTAACTACTAAACCGATTGCATTGAATTTTTGCAGACGTAAAGTTAGTAGTCTGGATTAAATAATAGGGTACTTTTTATGTCGAAAAAATTTTATATTCCCGAGGGAAAACAAAAGTATTGGTATAGATGGCGCTGTATGTATTGGTATATGTCACATAGGCTACTTTTTATCCTTTTGTGACGCGAGCGAAGCCGCGGGTAAAAGCTAGTAGTTAAATAAACAAAAAGCCTATAAACTACAGAGAAAGTACCTTTAATGTATGCCAATGATATCTTCACTTAGATTCTGTGATCTCATCTCAATTAATGGCGACTAACGGTGAAAATGTACACAGAAAGTGATCCGTACTTTTTGTGGTGAAAATATGTATGTGATTATGTATTTAGTTAGTTAAATAATGGACCTTATTATGTATTATGCAAGATAGGTATTCCGTGGGAACATTATTTTTATTTTGATACCTACGTTATCAACGTATAAGATACTTCTTAGATTATGTTTATATTATAACTTTTGTGAGACATACTATATTACTAACTAGCTTCTACCCGCGACTTCTCCCGTTCCCGTAGGATTTTCAGGATCGTTTCTGTCTTAAGAACCTTCTCCAAATAATAACAAATACAACAAAAAAAAAAAGAATTAGTGAAATCGGTTCAGCCAAGGAAAAAGGGATTCATTTATATTATATTTATTAATATATAGATTATGTTTTCGGCTTACTCTAGCATGGCTTTAAACTAGTCGACTTCCTCGTCAAACATTTATATGAGCAAGCCGAAAACACAATAATTAATTTACTCTAGATTATTAGATTATTTTGGTCCTAGGGTTGTGTGTGTTCTTTGGGAACCATTAGATAAGTTAAAAACGAACCAATTGTGTTTAAAAAGTTTATTTATGTCAAAATCAGTCAATACTTTCTTCCTTCAATACTATCTTTCTATTTAAAATGACAAAAAGCCTCAATCGGCAAAATATGACTCATAGCGCCTAAATAATCTAATGAGCAAATCACACTTCTTTGACAGTTGCTCACATAATCTTGATAGGCGCTTTAATTTCTTCTCTTTCTCCCATGGACTAAAACAATTAGTTCAAAGTCTTTTCTTAACGTTCTATTAATAATTGTTATGATTTAATTAATACTAATTAGGTTTTATATTAGTTATACAGAGCTTGGGTCTCGCCTTAAACACCACGCCTTTTTGCTTCTGAAACAGACGAATAGAAAACTATAAATATTAAGACCCACGTGTGACCACCGACGAGAAAACGACAACTGTCGGCTATTTTCTCGCTCAAAAAACGTAGGTATAAAGGATATACATTCCCTGATGCACTGGCATCAGGTACCTATTATGGCTCCGTATTATTTATTTTATTATAATTAAACTTTTAAACTAGATACTACCTCTAGATGCTAGATAGTAGATATGTAGTAATAGTAAGTAAGGTGTTCCTTGTCTATGGTCCACAGATAATATTAGATATTATGTAATTCTATAATTTAGTAAAATAATGAGTCTGTGGCCCATGGACAAGATTTCATTTCATTATTAATTTCATTTTTAATTTTTTTTAGCTTTTATTTTATTTTTTAATTATGTTATGTGTGTTCTGCGCAAAAATAAATGGTTTTTCTTTCTTTTCTTTCTTCTTCTTTCTGATAACAAAAGAGTTGCATATACGAATAGTTGCCGACTGTTCACACTGCTGGCGAGCATTCGCAAGAGCAACTATTGGAACTTAGTTTCAATAGTTCTCCAACTCTAGCTTAACTCGTCACTCATTCATCTTTATAGGGTGTAGCCAGCCAGAGGCTCAGAGTGGGGCAAGTCTAAAAAAATATGTAACTGGTAAACTATACACGCGTGGTTTTAGACTGGTTAACTAACGATTGTCGAGTATATATTTTTATTGTAAATACTATACAGTTTTTGTAGTTACTACCTACTAATAGATGATTTAGATTTTTACGTTTGGGTGAGTACTCTTTGTCAGAGCTAGCCCCACCTTGTCCTATTGTGGTTATACCCAATGTTGCCAGAGAGACAAGTGCCATAGGTATCTACTTCTTCTTTTTATTGTTTTTGAATACCAAATTAGGCCTTCGCTACTAGAACATTGTCAATGACGTGCACAGATACCTTGGAGATCGCAGATTAAATGGTCGATGTCAGGTCTTACTATACCTGATGACTATTCTTAATTTTCTAATGTAGATATGTGACCAATTTTAGGCAGCATTACTCCTAAATTTTAAACTGCGATCCCTTATCATAACAAACAGCACCCTTTTTATGCCCGAAGGGGTAAGCAGAGGTGCACATTACGGCACATACAATGTACGTACACTGTACAATGTAACACCTACTTTTCATTATTTATGTTATGAGTTCCATGTTCCATGGGTCACCCTTGTTACACGGAACTCATACTCATAGGCTCACACTTATTGCCATATACATTTCCAGACACAGTGTTACTACTGAGATATTAAAAAAACCCCAGACACCGTATCCGGCAGATGCAATTACGACCACTGGGCCGACGAGGCACCACTGTGATCCAATACATATAGATTATGCCAAACCCTCTTGCGTAGAGAAGACATATTTATTATTCTAGAAGTGACCTGTCACGAGCTGATGATGATGAGGGCAATTATGGATATTTAATGTATAATTACTTCAAATACTGGTTCAGTTCCCTCTTGTTGCAAGATGACCAGGTCTTCGCTGGGTTCTTGGGGTTGTACTTGGCGTCCATGATGTACCGCTGTCCTCTGCACTCGTTGTGGGGCGGTCCGTCGTGGGATATACCCAAACTAAAATAAATATTAACGTAGTTCAGTTTTATTTATTTATTTAAATGGTGTTTCTTAATTTTCTATAATGGGAGTGTTTTTATTGTGTGCGATCAGTGACATGCGTCCTTCACATCAGACGAGATACAAATGTACGTATTGTACGTATATACAAATATAAGTGTGGGAGAGCCATGTTTCGGCACGAATGGACCGATACCATGAACTCAGAGAAAATCGACATGAAACAACGCATGCGTTGTGTGTCGTCGTGTGGGTGAAGTTACTGGAGGCCCCCAGTCTTCCCAATCCTCGAATACCCTACAATCTTCAAATTCCTAATTCCCAAAAGGCAGGTAACGCATTTGTAACGCCTCTGGTGTTTGACGTCATCTAACACCAGAGGCGTTACAATGGAATGATAGTAAGCCGTCCGGGTCATCATATCAGGTGATCCGTCTGCTCGTTTACCGGTTTATCCCATAAAAGCGTTACCAACCAGATGTTATAGATAAACAAACCTTTTACTGTTCTTGGTAGGTAAAAGTTTACAAGTTATATGCCGGAATACTGAAACGTTACTCATTTTTAAGTCGTGCTCAAATATCGTGCCATCTCTGTCATTTTACAAAGAATTAGAGGTGACAGAACTATACTTAAGCGTGACTTAAAACTGAGTAACGTTTCAGTATTCCGATAATAGACTTCAAACATCACGTAATGCGAAGGAAATTTTGTACAATTATAATACCTAGATGTAGGTACCATTAGTATACTAACTAATATGCTAATGACTTTCATTACTCAATGACCTAGCCTATATTATTAACAACCTAGGCTCCAAAAACAGGCCCATTTATGATTTGTTAGAGCGTAACCGAAAAATACTAATTACATCCACGGAAACAATATTTTCGCACTTAACCAATGTAAATAAAGCATATATTCGCAAATTTACACTTACAAATATTTCGCACTTGATATTAGAATTCTTAGAACACTATTAACATTCTGACTAAGGAATTTACACATCAGCTCATCAAGCTACTCCCCTCTGCCAAACATCTTTAATCAACTTTCATCTGTATTCATTTTGAACTAAAGTCCAAGATTAATTGGAGATGTTAGATGTATTGGGGTAGGTTCATATGCTGTGCGACCTAGTAACAGGTCGATGTCTTTATTAGCCTAAATACATAGTATCTTGAGTGACATGACGACACGGCTTGTGTCCTATTATTAGTAATTGATAATACTGTTTTGATTCTTTTATTCAATACTGTCTGCAAATAGAGGGCATTGACTTATGATTGTTATTAAGGCCTGCTATTTTTTTTTCTTTCAGTTTTCCTTGAAGATATAGGAATGTAATAATAATGTCTACGAACTTATTCTTTATTATTACAAAGAATAAGTTCTTTATTATTTATTCTTATAAAGAATAAGTTCGTAAATTACCATCGTAAAGATACGATGGTAATTTACGTACATAAGTGAATGATTTCTTTTCTATTTTAAGGAGTATTATGTACTTGGTACAGGGTGCTTACTCTTGAAACCTTGAAATACCAATGTTGACGCAATCAATCCAATAAAATTTCAATAATTATTCAATGTCAGAACTATACAACCCCATTCGTAGCTGTTACAATAACATTCAGAGTACGGAATATAAAGCCAAATTCAATTCCATTTAGTTCATTAAATATCCACACAATCCGGATGCAATACGAAATTTTACAATATCAATGTCGATCGATCGGAATTGGATTCAAGAACCCCAGGACTGTATAATGTAGGTACTTAGGTCTCATTTCCCCAAACTTTGCAGCCCCACACTACATTATTTCCAAAAATTCAAAACTCCACCAGAGAATTCAACAAAGGCTTTGACGTTTAGCAATATTCCTTGATATTAATTGACCATCAAAGATAATGAAACATTTTATCTATTTTATACGACATACAGACAGATATTTTATTATTTGAGTACAATAGAATTACATTCAATTATATCCGGACATGAGTACAATTAGCAAATAACTATTAAGTTCTTAGATTTTAATTACTCATAAAATGTTTAGGAGTAACAAATACAAATCTAGGTGATTCATTGCTCAAGTACCAACTATCTATGTAACTGCTAAACATTATGTTAGGTTCGATAGCTGAATTGATAAATTCCTAAGCTATACTATTAGAAGTACTGTTAGCAATATAGTTTATGACGATATACGACTGCCTCGTTGGCCGGGTATATGATAGGGGGTGAGCCTATTGCTATATACCGGGCACGATTCCAGACTCCGTGCTACTACATGGATTTTTTTTAAAACCCAGTAACTCGTTATCCGGGGCCCGACCCGGAAATCGCACCCGAGACCCCTTGCCCGGCAGTCGCACTTGCGACCACTCGGCCAACGAGGCAGTGTTTCTAAAATTTCTGTTAACCTTTGATCGCATGCTTTACGCGGGAAAAATATCGTTTACTAGCTTCTGTCCGCGACTTCGTATGCGTAATCCCATTTTTTCCCGTCCCCGTTTGTGATTTTCGGTAAAAAGTAAAAAAGTATTGGTTAAAAAGTATCTTATGTCGGTCTCCTGGCTCTAAGCTACCTCCCTACCAATTTTCAGCCAAATCTATTCTGCCGTTCGTGAGTTATAAGTGGTGTAACTAACAGGACTTTCTTTTATATATATAGATTATAACTTTTTTAATTGATTACTAATAAAATGACGTGTACTATAAATAAAATAATAAAAAATGTAAAGTTTTTTTAATACCAGGGGCCCCGTATATTTGATATGGGAGATACGGCGTTAGCTACGCCCCTGTATATATCTGTTGATCATGCATTTTTTTAAGGGGGGAAAATCATCGAATGACTGCTCCCGTCTGGCTGTGAGTGCGGGAGGGAGTGTCAGACTCTTACTGACTAAAAATCACCCCGTTCCTTCTCCAGCGCTTCGAGCCGGAGCCCCGGTAACCCGTTAGTTTCTACGCGGTGCATAATGAAATAATCAAGGAATAGAATACGAAAAAAGTACGAATTTAATCAAGAAAACAAGCGAAAGATAAACAAAACGAAGTAAAACTTCACCTGTGTGCTATTTCATGTGTGAGTACATAGGCGATGTGCTTGGGATGCCACTCCAGCAGGGTGCAGCTGTTCCTGATGCTGCACATACTCTTCATGTAGCCTCGACCTGGAAATATTACATTTTCTGTCATTTATTGAAATTGAAGCCAAAGAATGGTATTCTAGTACAAATCCTGTCTTCTTTTATTCTTCTTTTCCAATTACTTTGAGATCAGGACCTGGATTTGAGTGAAGATCAATACTGAACATGGAATCATTGACTACTATACCTAAGCATGCTATCACATTTTTAGTTAGAACTTTTGTTAGTTCAGACTAACTGTTATTGTAGGGACTTTCTTCCTTTTTTTATAATATATAGATAAAAAAATACAATATCAATGTTTCGGAAAATCAAGCAAAATTGTTCATTAAAACGAATGGACTCTAACAGAATTCTTTCAATCCACTCATACACATTCAGCTACCGCACTTCAATAATAACGGACACCCAATAAAATTAGCGGTTCACACTCCAATAGAATGAACAACTTCGAATGTAGCTGATAGCTTGCGAAATATTTGCTGCATTTCCTGATGATGGGATAATGTTCGTTTCCATAATTGGCTTTGACTTTTATTGCTATAATACAACAGGTTGTATTATATGCAGTTTATTACGACCCAAGATAAGGTGTGTCCTGCTGAAGAAATGGTGAGATGGGATTTGCTTTACAGTTAGTAATGTAGGGAATTTCACAAGGTGCTATAACTGACTTTAGTGTTTTGTTTACACTGTTGGTGTATTAATGACTTAAGAATTGTCTATAAGGTTTCTTATTGTAATTTACATAATTATTATGTGTTATCGTGGACGGAAACCTTATACTTGTTGCATTTGTTAAATAAAATCTTTGCTTGCCTCTTGCACCTACGATTTATTCTTCTTTGCATCACCCAAAGGTCAGACTGGTAGAAAATGCCTGCGTCATTAACACACCTATTTGTACATTTTGTGCATGAAGCATATTAAATAAATAAATGAATATTCTCATATATCTTCCTCACTACCATCATATAGACCAGCAAAAGACACCCACTGCTGAACATAAGGCTGTCAAAGTGGCTTACAGACCGGTAGGTAGGTTAATACTCAATAAGAAATTAAACAAGATATGTCTCCGTGGAAATCACATAAATAGGTATCTTTACATACCTGTACTACTCCTAACTTCAGACCCGAACCGATCCAAATAGAACAGATCCAATCCAGTAAACAGCACAGAATAGAACCATTTCTGCTTCGCTAGCTTCTTCTCCCCTTGCCATCTGCAATAACTCTTCAAATATTTGGAAACATTTTCATCCATCACCACTTTCTTAGTATTATTCTTTAGTATTTTGACATCTATCAGTTCCATTTTGACTTTCTGCTGTAGATTTGGATGTGAGAATAATTCTTCTACGTCCTTTAATATATCTATTGCTAGTAGTTTGAACTTTTCTCTAATTTTGTGCTTCGATTCTTTTGATAGTACTCTCGTTAACGCTTTGTCTAAATGCATCATCACTGGTATTGTGATGTCCGTCTGTTTTGTGTAGTACTTTATTGATGCCTTGTTCTGGAGTTTTGAGGTTGTTAGTGTGTTCTGGAAAACAAGATTAACTTTTAAGTTGGAGTTTGACTGCTAACTCGCCTAGTGTTGAGCGACCCTGGAGTACGTCTGCCTATTTTTTTATGGGATAAGCCGGTAAACGTCCGCACGGATTACCTATGGTAAGCAATTGGCGTCGCCCATGAACACCCGGAAAACCAGAGGCGTTACAAGTGCGTTACCGGCCGTTTGGGAATTAGGAATTTGAGGATTGTGGGGGATTCGGGGATTGGGGAGACTGGGGAAGGGGGTAATTGGGCCTCCGGTAACCTTACTCACACGACGAAGAACAACGCAAGCGTTATTTCACATCTGTTTTATGTGAGGCCGTGGTATCACTCCGTTTGAGCCGGCCCATTCGTGTCAAAGCATGGCTCTCCCACACTTGAAAGTAATGAATCTAATCATTATGTTATCTTAATTGCCATTTTTAGATTACAGCTGATTCTTTGGTCGATTGAATGCATTCTTCATCTTCGAAATTCTCAGTAATAGTATTGAATCGACAATTGAATTCATCGTAAGGCAGGCCACATTTATATGGAATTTACTAGTAAAAGGTTGATGTTTTATATATTGGACTTGCCTCGTTGGCCGAGTGGTCGCAAGTGCGACTGCTGGGCAAGGGGTCTCAGGTTCGATTTCCGAGTCTGGCAAAGTATTAGGTACCGGTTTTTTTTTAAAATTCTCAGTAATAGCTCGGAGTCTGGAATTGTGAATAAATAGTGAAAAGTGGGTGTTACATTGTACAGTAGCATAATGTGCACCTCTGCCTAAATTACTGGACTCAAGACTGCCTCCGACTATTAGAAATAAAATTTGTGTTTTTGATTGGAACTTTATCGTGATTTTGCTGTAACTTTACTCTAGTAAGCTGTTCTAAAACAGGGAAAGTACCTAAGCTTTTCAATTTCTCTTTAGTGGCGTAGAACCTGAATAAGTGTCCGGTTTAAAGCAATAGTTTCACTTCCAAATACCATACTTAAGTATATGTGAAGTACTCAATATAACGTGTAAAAAGTGTGGGTGAGTAATGCTTCGGCACGAATGAGCCGTCTCGACTGGAGTGATACCACGGCCTCACAGAAAACTAACGTGAAACAACTCTTAGGTTGTGTTTCGTCGTGTAACTGAAGTTACCAGAGGCCCAATTACCTCTCCCCCCTTCCCCAATCTCTGAATCTCCAACCATCCTCAAATTCCTAACTCTCAAAAGGCCGGTAACGCACTTGTAATGCCTTTAGTGTTCTGGGTTTCCATGGGCTACGCCGATTGCTTACCATCAAGTGATCCGTCTGTTCATTTACCGTAATAAAAGTTGCAAGTGACACACATGTATAAACCTAGCTCTATTAAATTTTCATAAATACTAAGTATTAAATTGCTACTACAGAATTATATTTTAGTTATGCTAGATGAAATCAGTTTTATTACTGGATTGATATTTATGCTATTGGCAGGTTGTAGGGATTACACAGGTAATGTTTCGTCATCTCTGACCGATGTTGTATCCTGCCCACGTTTAGAACGGATATGAGATCGGAAAATGACTTAGTTTAGTTGAATTATTAGCTGAGTAAGTAAGCGCTAATGTGATTCTAAGTTCTCTATAATCTTCATCATCGTCATCATGATCATGATTTTGTATCTGGCTTTATGTTCACTACTCTTTATTCAGTAGCTAGCTAGGTTCCTCGCGGTTTCACCCGCTCTGCTCGCCTATTGATCGTCACGTGATGTTTTATAGCCTATAACCCTTCCAGATAAAGTGCCTATTCAACACCAAAAGATTTTTTAAATCGGTTCAGTAGATCCTTAGGTTAGCGAGTTCAAACAAACAAACTCTTCAGCTTTATATAACAGCATAGAGAGATTATATCCATTTATTATAGATAAAATGTACCCAGGATATTAAAGTGCAATCATACCAAGTTTCATCGTAATCGAACTGGTAGTTTTTGCGTGATGCGTTAACATACAGACAGACAGACATTTTATTAATGACAAGTTTGGGTTCGGGTCTATCTAGTAATACCGCCTACTATTTATTTTTTTAATGTACAGAATTTACATTGACTGAAGACAATTGACATTACTTCTTTTATATCTATACATGTGTACTATATATATGTACAGAATAGACGTTAGGTTATTTAATTTTTTAATAAAAAAATTAGTAATAGCACAAAACTTTGGTTGCCAGTAGGTATTAATTTAGTTCTCACGATAAGCACATGTATGTTGCCAAAATGAACAGATGTCTAAGTTTTAACCTTAATTCTATGCTGACGCGGTCATTGACTCATGCATAATTCTAATCTTCCTAATATCTTCTAAAAATCTCAGCATTTTGTTAGACCTGGAAGTAATATCTGAAATTGCACGCCCAACAGCTATATTCATGATCTTCTGAAGACCCTTAATAAATATGTTTTACTTCTAATACAAAGACTTTCGATTTCAAGTGGTGTGGTCGCGACTGCCGATTAGAAGGTAGGCAAAGTATAACTACCAGATTATCTACTAAATAAAATAAGTCGGGTTTTCCTTCCTGACGCTATAACTCCAGAACGCACGAACCGATTTCTACGGTTTTGCATTCGTTGGAAAGGTCTCGGGCTCCTTGAGGTTTATAGCAAAGAAAATTCACTTTTAATCACCAAACAAAATGTTACATAAAACGAAGCCATCTGGTGGCGAAACGTAGTTCGCCGGGTTTGATAGTCACATTTAAAAATATCAGTTGTTTATTCTGAAGTTTGAAATTGCGTGCAGAGTATGATAATGTACTTAAGTGTGGGTGACCCATGTTTCCGCACGAATGTGCCAGGCCTCACAGAAGGGCCATCACGGCCTTACAGAAAACCAACGTGAAACAACGCTTGTTGTGTTTCGTTGTGTGAGTGAGGTTACCGGAGGGACAATTATCCCCCCCCCCCCCCTTCACCAAAATCTCCCCAATCACTCAATCCCCAACAATCCTAAAATTCCTAATCCCCAAAAGACCGGTAACGGACTGGTAATGCCTTTGGTGTTCCAGGTGTCCATGGACGACGCCGATTACTTATCATCAGGTGATCCATCTACTTGTGTACTGGCTGATTCTATAAATAAATAATGGGTTGGCCCCCTATTACTTAGAAAGAATAATTAGTCTATTGAAAAGTGAGTGTTACATTGTATATTGTACTTTTTCCTAACTCTTTGGAGATTAAAAAGATATTGTGCTATAGTTACATATTGATTTGAACAATAAAATTTTCATTGTTATAAATGGCTATTCTGGGAGAAGCAATTTATTCAGCATCAATTTCTGGGAATGACAAATTGAGGTCACAGACATGTGGAAAAAACTTCGCAACATCTGTTTAGTCATAATATTTTAGTGTTTAGACTATATTTGGTGCCTTTAATTAATCTAAGGACTATCAAATTGAAGGATATGTAAGGATAACGTCACCTCGTCAAAATATGATAGAAATAAAATATTAAACATAACAATATAACATAATATCACGCCTTTTATCCCCATAGGGGTAGGCAGAGGTGCACATTATGCGACTGTACAATATAACACACATTTAACTCGGTCAAGCCGTTTAGGAGGATTTCAATGACATACACACGTACAACAGAATTATAATATATATGTTACCGGCCAAACCCGATTTTAGGACAAACTAGTTTTGCCTAGGCTAAACTAGTTCTTCCTATACGCGTTAGGATTAACTAGTATAGCCTAGTTCAAACTAATTTGTCCTAAGCCCGATAGGATAAATTAGTTTGGGCTAGGACAAACTAGTTGATCCTGACATAAAGACGCCCCACTCTAGGATAAACTGGTATGGCCTAGTCATAATATTATGATTATTGCATCTATTAAAAAACAGTGTGACTGCCTCGTTGGCTGAGTGGTCGCAAGTGCGATTGCAAGGGGTCTCGGGTTCGATTCCCGGGTCAGGCAAAGTATTACTGGGTTTAAAAAAAATCTCAGTAGTAGCACGTAGTCTGGAATTGTGGCCGGTATATGGCAATAGGCTCACCCCCTATTACATGGGACTCGTAACATAAATAGTGAAAAGTGGGTGTTACACTGTTCAGTGGCATAATGTGCCTTCGGGGATAAAAGGCGTGATGTTATGTGATAAAAAAACAGTAATAATTGAGTATGATTGTTTGTATTGCCAATTATTATTTATAACTTGTAGCGTCGAATCATTATGATTTTAAATGAATAACAATGTAAATAATTATTGCTTCTTTCAAAAAACACAATTATTTGTTATAGGATGATTGTTCGTATTACCAATTAACCATAAGTTTTAACGACAAATTATCATGGTTCAATTACGGAGTATTTTATTAAATTTTTTATGACTTATGACTTATTTATTATAGCGTTCTAGATTTATTAGAATGTTTAGACTTGGCCATACCAGTTTATCCTAGAGTGTGCGTATTTATGTCAGGATGAACTAGTTTGTCCTAGCCTAAACTAATTTATCCTATCGGGCTTAGGACAAATTAGTTTGAACTAGGCTATACTAGTTAATCCTAATACGTATAGGAAGAACTAGTTTAGCCTAGGCAAAACTAGTTTGTCCTAAAATCGGGTTTGGCCGGTAACATATATAAAGACAAGAAACTTTTTCTACTAAAACCTACATTTTCCTAGTTATGAGGTAATCGGGGACGAGCCTATTACAAAACACAGGGCACACGACTTAGATAAAACAGTACACTCAAGTACAACACCTATTCATAAACAAAAGACCGCAATTATTACACTTGTTATTACGTTTAGTGAACCATTTCTCAGAAACACTGATTCGCAAATGACACGCGTTTTCAGGAACGTGTACGTAGCTTGTAAAACAAATATAACCGTTAACGAGCCAAGCATTGAACCCGGGACCTTTGAGAATGGTGTTACGTAACAAGCCTGAATGGTATTTACTGATAATTTTAATTTGCAAGTTTGGAGATCATGGCTATTTGCAAATATATCGGTGTAGAGTTGTGAATCAGATGATTGGACGTGTCGTTGGTTGGATTCCTATGTGAGACATTTGTTAGTCATATCAGTGTATGCCACAATGCCAACAAATTATATCGACGTAAAACAAATCTCACACTCACATCAAATAACAGTTACATTATGTGCATTAAATTATATAACAAAGTTCCAAATTCCATTAAGGCACTACCTTTTCATAAATTTAAACGAGGTTTAATAAACCTGCTAATTGACAAATGTTTTTACAGTGTGCTTGAGTATTTAGATTATAAATTGTAATATTTAATGGTTTGTGAATTGTAATGTAATCTATTTTATAATATGTGTGACATTCCTGTAAAATTGACTTTTATAGAATTTTGTGTGTGACATTTATGACATTTTGTGTTAATTTTGTGACATTTTCTCTTTTATAAAATTCACTTCTAATCGTAATTTTCTTTGAGATAGCAGTATAATAAAATTTTGACAAGTCTGTAAAGTACCTACATTATTTTTGCACGCCGATGTTGAAGGCAAAATAAGAGGACGTAAGTTATTAGAAAATGACAACTATCTGTACCTTATTTACGCAAATAAATATTTTTTGATTTGATTTTGTAACGTGAGTCGGAACAAATTCTAGATTATAATCAACAACAGCAACTATCGTAACGACCATATATCTCTTGTTGAACACATAGCAATTTTAAAATGAATCTTGGTTCAAACCGAGAATAACATGACAAAACATCACGCCTTTTATCCCCCAAAGGGGTAGGCAGAGGTGCACATTACTCACTATTTATGTTATGAGTCCCATGTAATAGGGGGTGAGTCTATTGCCATATACCGGGCACAATTCCAGACTCTGTGCTACTATTGAGATTTTTTTAATCCAGTAATACTTTGCCCGATCCGGAAATCGAACCGAGAATCTTTGCTAAAATCTCACGCTCAATAGACCTCGAGACCTTGGAAATTAAGACGACACCTCTAGAACATCATTCAGTATCTAATATTTAAGCTAAGTTTAGTTTTTCATATATGTGGGGTAAACGAATAGGGTAGTTACCTAAATTTTATTTTAATGTCCGTCTGGTACATTAATTAAGAAATTTAGACACCTATTTTTCTTTTCTCACAAAATTAAATACTTTCGACGATATATTAATTTGAAATATCGTGTGACGTCACAGCGTGCCACATTTTGTAGCACGTTATGACGTAACAACCTCCCACTCCTAAACTTAGCGCCATTTTATCTAAGTATTGCAACTTAATACGAGAAAATGAAAAAATACGTGTCTAATATTTTTTCATTATCTAACTGACGTTTAATTTTGATACCCTGGAAACTACCCTATTGACGGATAATTTTATTAGATGGGGTGTGGTGAACGAATTGACGGATCACTCTTGAACAAGTTATCAACACCATCGGTTATCAGTTAGGAAGGAATATTTTATCCTTGACTGTATCTACCTATGTATACAATTTAAGACATAATTATGTCATAAAATAATTATAATTTATTACTCATAAACGTCCTAAGTTTTCCCTAATATTCATTTTAATAAATTAGTATTATTATTAAATACGTTATCTGTTTTGTAACTATTATTTTATGTTTTGACTTATTAATTGGAACCTATTTTAGTTAGTATCAGTCTTAACATTGAGCTAATTGAAAACAGGTAAATTAATGTGTTTATTACAAAATATATCAACCGAATAATAATGTAATGATTAGGCAGTAATTCTCTCTCATCATCACGCCTTTTATCCCCGAAGGGGTAGACAGAGGTGCACATTACGGCACTTAATGCCACTCACACTGTAATACCCATTTTTCACTATATTATGGGTACCATATAATAGAGGATGAGTCTATTGCCATATGGCTCAGTTCCAGACTTCGTGTTACTACTGAGAATTAAAAACATCCCATTATTATTTTACCAGAACCGGGAATCGAACCCGAGACCCCTTGCCCGGTAGTCGCACTTGCGACCAGTCTGCCGACGAGGCAGTCATTGTTTACTAAAATTTAAATTGGGCGCTACTGCATGATAAACCTAAGCTAAAATTATCATACCATGACGTCACACCTTTTAATCTCCAAAGGGATTGGCAGACATGCACATAAAATAGATTCAACGTCAAGACCCACTATTCTAAAGTCATGGCCACAATATTATGCTCTTATCGAACTATTCATGACCATTAAAATAATATCAAAAAAAACAAAAGAGCTCCTATAATTTTTGACAACCCGTCAATCGATCACGACAACTCTTGCTTGCGATCATTCGATCAACTAATCGAGATAACCCTTAAGCAGCAAGCACCTAATACAAATAACAATTACAGCCGTATGATAAAATTAACCTAGGTCAATACCTACCTACCTAAGCTACAATCAGCTTGTTTTACCATTTCTGCACTTATAAAGAGTATTTTTCTATTCTTTTCCAGTTTCAGTCTATATTACATTGATACCACATTTCATCAACTATGGGTAGGTACTAAAAATACGTTTAGATAGTGGCATGTATCACATTTTGAATCAAATATAAAATATGCTTTTATAAATAGTATATAGGTAATCACGGAATATTTGTATTCTATATTCCGTGTAGGTAATTGTCTTTTTACTGAATAACAAAAACTGTCAAACACCGAGCGGTCACCGGTGACCGCAACCTATTGTTCTTTAATTGTGTCTATAATGACGGTACTCAACGAGTTAATAATGTTAAATTGTATAATGATGATGATAATGACTTGATGTATGAATTTTATTGTAGGATTTTGTATAAACCACTGAAATGGATTTCCAAAAAAGAATACGTTTGTCTTGTTCTTTATTGTTAGAACAAGAATCGTATGAAAGAAAAATTCGACACATTCACCAGAAATAACAGAAAATAACACCTAAACTAAGCCAGGATGGAATGCCAGTAAATTATAATGTTAATGAGAATATTGGGAAAAAGACCCGGGTAATGCTTGGACATGTAATTAGTTCATAGACAAAGTGAATCATAGCTTACCAATTTGCAAGAAATTCCATCCAAAAAGGCGAACACAAATAAAAACACATAGCACTTCATTTTGACGGTGACGTAGTATCTACTGAATATTGTGACCGTATGTCCAGAATGCCTAAGCTGTACTAAGCTTTGCAACAAGTCCTAACCATAAGGAGACGTATGACAGACAATACAGAAGGCCCATTGCATGAGGAGGAAAAATATATTCGTAAAATTGTTGTTGTTTTGTCATGATATGATGTATTGTATTATTGTTATAACCAGTACCTTAAAAATATTATTTATTGTTAACTTAAAATCGCGGGTTACTCATGTGAATATATGGGTAGCTCTACTAGTATCGAACCACAGAGCGGTTCTTCCCGCGATCCGCGATTTTTTGTTAATTTAGTATGTCTCACACTAGTTATTATAAAAACATTATTATACATATATATGTCGCGGACAACCTAACCGGCTCGACGTGCAGGAGAAGGAACAGGGTGGTTTTTAGTCAGTAAGAGTCTGATACGCCCTCCCGCCTCACCCAGGCGGGAGCAGTCAATCGATGATTTTCCCCCCTTAAAAAAAATGAGTGAAACACCCAGACGGACTGCCTAATGTAAGCAATCAGTGCTGCACATAGACAGTAGATAAACTCGAAACAACAATACCTTAGTCTGTTATATCAATAGTCTAAAAATAAATTGTACATAGTCAATATATTGTATAACATGGATTTCATAATTACGAATTTTGACAAGTTTTGTTGGTATGGTTTTAACAAATCAGCAATTAGTAAATGAATGTTATTAATATAATTTTGCAACTATTACAACGGCAGACTAAGGCACCAGATGGAGATGAGTTACAGTGCATATTGGACCTTATAAAAATAATAATTTGAGATCAATTATTTCATAATTATTTAGTTTTCGGTGGAAATAGTACTACTACTTAAATTTTTATCTACGGTGAGTTATTGAACTCAGCATCCATCATCATATAGGAGCCATTGGCTATTAAGGCGATTGCTTCTTCGATACGGAACTGGTGTAGCAAAATACATACATACGTATTTTTATAATGAGCAGTTCTGATAATGTAAAAAAAAACATTATAAATAATGAATAATGCATTAAAAAAACGAGAGGAAATAAGGATATTAAAATAAATATCAAATGAGAATATTTTTGGTAAGTAGACTGTAAAGGTTATATAAAGTAAATAAATAATACCGCAGTGTTAGCACTATGATATTCCTACATTGTATTACAAAATGTCTAAACATTACACATAATGTATTATCCTTAAAACCTAGAACTATCTACCAGCAATTTGCAACATTTTTCAAAGACATATCAGAATGAGACTTCTGTATGTTTCTATACGTCGTAAAATTCATGTGGGCCATGTAACAGTATTATGTATTATTACTAAGTAAATTATCGACTGTTACATGAAACAAACAAATAAGCCCTTACATATTTTTATCATCATTTACAAAGAACATGATAAAATTAGGTCATGATAATCATGTCCTATATGTATATTTTATAAAAAAAAATAGCTTCTGCCCGCGACTTCGTAATCCCATTTTTTCTCGTCCCTGTTCGTGATTTTCGGTAAAAAGTAAAAAAAAAATTGGTTAAAAATCCTATGTCGGTCTCCTAGCTCTATGCTACCTCCCTACCAATTTTCAGCCAAATCTATTCTGCCGTTCTTGAGTTATAAGTGGTGTAACTAACACGACTTTCTTTTATATATAGATTTTGGGTGACAAGCTGTCTGTCGTTTTGGCCCATTGGTTGCAAGTGTGGGTGTTCAACAAATTGTGCTAAGGTCGGTCCTTGACATAGACAAAGTGCTCGTGAGTTTTTGGATTTTATAGTTTTTTTTTGGATTTCATAGTAATCGTTCTTTGCGACGGTATGTGTAAAATTTTTGGAAGTATCAAGTATTTACAAATAGAAGCGGTCATACTAACAAATGGTTTTAAACGATAAATGTCATTCCTATATTAATGTAAATTGCCATACTGACATCGCTTTTTTTATTCGACTAACGTTATGACAATCGTCTAGCGGGGCTAAAACCACCTTTCTGTTTATACCTTCGAAGAATATTGTGACTAAAACACACCTGTGACTCTTCTGGTGTTGCTAGTGTCCATGGGCGGCGCTGATCGCTTACCATCAGGGGATCCATTTGCTCGTTTGCCTCCTATTCCATTAAAAAAATATCGAGTATAATTTTATCCATACGCATACATACATATATTATTAGAATTGCCTCGCGACTTCCTTCATGCCTATATTAGCAAACTCATGGCAGATAACCTTACAACCTTGCTTAGGATTGGGACAAACGCCCGAATACTGAAACGCTACTCAGTATAATTCTGTCACTACTAACTCTTTGTAAAATGAGAGAGATGGCACGATACTCAAGTACAACTTAACATAGCCTTTCAGTATTCGGGTGTAAATTCTAAAAACTGATAGTTTCCTGGTGCTTACTCTTGAAACCAATTGCAATCTCAATGCAATTTCAATTCAATAAAATCTCAATAGTTAATATTTTTAATATTTAGTCCGCCGGTGGCCCGTGTTGCTCTATGTATTTAATAATTATTCAATGTCAACACTTAAAGCCAAACTCAATACCATTTAGTTCATACAATATCCACGCAATACGGATGCAATGAGCGCTAGTGTTGCAACTCAAGAGTACGAGATTTCACAATACCAATGTCGATCGATCGGAATTGAATTCAAGAGTAAGCCCCTAGATATTATTATCAGCACGACCGTTATGAAGAAAAGCTTTGAAAATTATGGTATTATAATAATGATAAGTTGACTTAAAACAACTGAATTTTAATGAATGAATTAATGTTGATAATAAAAATAAAAATATTGTTACGAGTATACGGATTTTAGGTGCAACTTTTCCTTCCTCTCTCAATGAATAAGAGCCATCTTAAGTCACCAGAACATTTAGAAATGACAGCCAACAAAGTTAATATAATTGATGACTTAATATTTCATAGGAATACTGAGTTACTTGACATCATATAACAATAAATCGTGATCTTTAAATCTGATACATGGTTAATGAATTCCATTAAATAGTTCAAAGTCTATAGTGTACTTATGATGCATCTACATGCGTTTCATGATTGATCAGGTTCATCGTCTATAATTGTAGACCCCGTGTTATGTTACAGGTTTTTGCCAGATTCGAAAGGCAAGACTCCAGAATGAGATGATGATACATGAAAGTTACTGTTTTTTTAAGATGGAAAAATTATCCTACGGCTTCTCCCGCCCGGTTGAGGTGAGAGAGAGTGTCAGCCTCTTACTGACTAAAAACCACCCCGCTCCTTCTCCTGCACGTCGAGCCGGAGCCCCGGTAACCCGTTAGGTTCTCCGTGGCTCCGTGTCGGCATCAGCCCTATTGGGCCCCATCTGATGAAAGTTACTGTTGCCGAGTCGAGTTTGGTTCACTTTAATTTCTTTATTGTAAAACCCGTTTCTTTATTTCGAACTAGCCTATGTGTTGAACCAGATTACGATTTACCTCTGTCACAATATTCCACATCAGGGTACTAACGCTTAAAATCAATGCATTTTCAATCCAATAAAATCTTAATAATTATTCATTATAAAAACTATACAACCCTAATTGTAGAGGTAGCTGTTCAATAGCATTTAAAGTACGGAATATAAAGCCAAACTCAAAACCATTTAGTTCATTGAATATCCACGCAATACGGATGCAATGAGCGCTAGTGTTCCAACTCAAGAGTACGAAATATCACAATACCAATGTCGAGCGATCGGAATTGAATTCAAGAGCCCCCTGTTCAGTTCAATGTAATTAAATACGTAACTTCAAAATATATTGTTTGGAACTTCTGCATTTATTGTTATTACTTAAACTAGAAGCTAATAAAATCAAAAAATACATGTACTGTGCGCGAACACTTAAATGAGAGTAGTTGTCCAGTTATCCAGGCATAGTATAAAGGATATCTTTGTTCGTTGTGGGATAAGACTAGAAATATTTTCTGAGTCACAGAAGTAACTTAAATAACATATAGGGTGTATGAATGAAGTAGAGGTCGTTGCCCTGCGGACGTGCAACTTCAAGTTGCAGCAACAAGCTTCTGTAACAGTGGTCTTGTAAGAAGAGACGATTTTTAATACTCGATCGTTTACCATCAGGTGATCCGTCTGTTCGATTGCATCCAATTCCATAAAAAACCTGAAAAATAACTCGAGAAAATTGACTGTTACAACCTTTGCACTTCGTGGATCATAAGGATCAGGACATTTTTTTATGGCATATGCCATAAACGAGCATACGGATCACCTGATGGTAAGCAATCGGCGTCGCCCATGGATACATGAAACAGCAGACGCGTTACAAGTGTTTTACCGACCTCTTGGGGATTAGGAGTTTGAGGATTGTTGGGGATTCGAGGATTGGGGAGATTGATCGGTTTTCTGTGAGGCCGTGATATCACTCCGGTGGAGCTGGCCCATTCGTGTCGAAGCATGGCTCTCCCACACTTAATGTAATTACCTAACATCTTTATGAATAAAATATATATGTATGTAAATGGTAGTGATTTTCGGTACAAAAACCGCTGCTATAATCCTGCTAATCTAAATTAGGCCAAAAATAAAGCGCGACTTCCAGGAAATGTGTTATCATGACTAAAAGTTAGTTTTTTTACGTAATTTAATCTATCCAGGAACCAAAACAGACTGGTCTGGCTTCCTTTAGCCATCAAAATTCATTATGTACTTAGGCATTGTATGGAAATTTTGATGGGATTACATTGCTCTGCATAATGTCGTTAAGTATAGCAATTTTATGATTACGATTGATTGAGCTTCTTTTATTATATTATTAAATACGTTTATTAAAAAGCGGTTATTTCAATAATACAAACAGATACTTAAATTTTATTTACCTATATGTATAGATGTACAGATGTATATGTAGATTCGAAAATTCTGATAAAAGTACCTAATATTTTGGACTATTGTCAATGCGTAACTGTTTGTTATTGTTATCGAAATAACATTTCTATTACCGAAGGGATTTTTTTAAGGGGGGAATATCATCGAATGTCTGCTCCCGCCTGGGTGAGGCGGAAGGGCGTGTCAGACTCTTACTGACTAAAAAAAACCCCGTTCCTTCTCCTGCACGTCGAGCCGGAGCCCTGGTTACCCGTTAGGTTCTCCGCGACTCCGAATCGGCATCGGCCCTATTGGGCCCCATCTGCACAATTCACATGTACCTACAATGTAATACCTAACCATGTGATGTATTCTTTAAAATAACATTTTACGTGTTTACGACATCAATCAATTAATTCGCAACAATGACATAATCATACGAGAACAATGTATTCTGGGAATTCGTATTTATATTTACTATACTTAGGTAGCCCATGAGGTAATATTGGATTCATGGTTTTATATTCGTCATTATGTTTATTATAAGCCGTAGGTAATTCCACGGAATGACAAAATTACATACACTTATTGGTTTTAAGAGGAAAATGACTGATTGAACGATTGGCACAGTGGCTGGGCGACTGACTTCTGTGGAACGTGTCACGGGTTCGATTACGGCATGGAAAAATACTCTATGTGGGTTACAAATGATTATTATAGGGTCTTTTTTAAGGGGAAAAAATCATTGAATGACTTCTCCCGCCTGGGTGAGGCGGGAGGGAGTTCCTACTCCTGCATTTCGAGCCGGAGCCCCGGTAACCTTTTACGTTCTTCGCGACTTCGTATCGACATAGGTCCTATTGGGCCCCTCATCCGCGGTGGCCTGATGGCTCTTTGAGGAGCGCGTGAAACGCGGCCCGCGTTACGCTCGGGTCTGGTTCTGGTAGGGCTTACGGTGGCTGAGGTGTGATGCCGTAACAACCAGTTAATTTTTCTAATACATGAGTAACTCTGAGTAAAGAATCACAGTACGTATTAAAACAAAATATATGAACCGTACAAATGCAAAATTACTGGCTTGTGGGTTACATTTGTACGCAGTTATCGTTTAAATTTTGCAAGCAACTAGTTGGTTGCTCTAAAGTTTCTATCAGTGTACGATAACTTATTGATCTTGTACCTGTATCTCTTTTATCCAAATGTTATCAGCCTCAAATAGTAAAAGTAAATGGAAGATTATGGATTTCAGTAATTATACTAGTTTCTATTCCAATAAAACCTTTTTCGTGACTGTTATGTTGGTGGATTATGAAATTATAGTCGGATTTATTTTACTTGGATTTATTAATAAAGTGCAGGGCGCACAACGTGTACACACACTGAGTATGACGGGTAGACAGCAACGTTAATAACGAGTGTCCTACCTTATATAACACATTATAGTGAGGGGGCCACTAGGACTTACTAATTAGTGTTGTTAATACAGACTAAATATACATGTAACAGTGACTAACACAATTTAGATTAATAATTGGTTACTTTTCAACTTACAAATATTCGTAAATCAATAAAACCCACTCAGAAGTTGATGTTATAGTTTTAAGCTGTGGTTATTCAACAAAAACAAATACAATATCAATACAAAATGAACAAGTGTTAAAGATTTTTTTTTAAATATTTGACAGCAACAATCATGCAATCATCGTCCAACGATTGCAATCGCAAGTTGTACGCTAGAACCATACTCTAACTTCCTTAGCGTGGTACTTATAAGAACTTACAAGATTAACTGTGTCGAATTATTAACCGGCGCAGTTAAAATAACTGTTATCCATATGCTCAGTTATACCTTGAGGTGATACCATGAATCATGGAGGTATTTAGTGTCGGTTGATCTATGGGATCTACGTTATAATTTATTGATGGTAATGTAACTGCGCAATTTTTTTTCGGTAGGTAGGTACATACCTCCTTTAATACTTAAAGTAAAGTCTTCATGTCATGTCCTTATTTTCCGAATTATCAGACTGATTTTTTTTTTTAATTTTTAAAATATTTAATTAATCCTAATAATTGAAATAAATAATTAAAAACTAAAATATTTAGTTATTTATTTATTTAGTTATTATTCAGACTGATTATTTAACAAGAAATATGTGTTTAGTAATGAAAGAAAGAAAGAAACACAGTTTATACCGTTACAAAAATTAAACAAAAAAAAAATCAAGAAAAAAATAGTTTGAAAAAAAGCAGAACAATGTACTCGGTGCAAAAAGGCTTGTGTTCAGCTAAAATGCTGAGACCTGAGCGCAAGAATATTGAGTGATCGAGTGAAAAATAGTGTTATTAGAGAAAGGTGTGGATTGAAAGATGATGTAGTGACAAGGATTGGAAAGGGAATGTTACGCTGGTTTGGACATGTAGAGGTAGAAAGGATGGATGAAAGTAGAGTAACGAAAGAAGTATACAAAGCGGTTATGAATGGGATCGTTGTCAGAGGGAGCTCTAGACGGACATATGTATACTGAGTAGATTGGCGATATATTAAAGAACTGCCATATTAAAAGTAATCGACGAGCATGCATGAAACGACTGATGACTGTTGATGAAGTGAAAGAGGTATGTAAGAATCGTAGCAATTGGCGGTCCATAGTCTCTGCCTACTGCATGGGAGACAGGCGTGAGGCTGTGTATGTATGTATGTAGGTATGTAGGTATGTAGGTACCCATTGACATTGCCAATTTTTAACCAGTTATGTCTCAGCCCATAAACCTATTGCCAAAACAGGCACAATTCCGTATTCGGTGTTTTGTAAGACTTTCGGAAACTGCAAAATAAAACATCATCATCATAGATGTTCACCATCAGTTCCGTTAGAGGCCACTTCTATTTCATTTACAATTCTATTTCATTACGAAGATAAAACTTATTTAACTATTCTTTATACAAGTCAGGTTTCAAATTGGTATATTTTGCTCTTATAATCACACGTGGTGTAATAGTAGGGGAGCCCACGATGCTAAATTTGGATTTACTTGAGCGTTGTTGGGACCTACTGGATTTTGAAGATATGCTGATAGAAAGAAGAAATGGTATAGTGACAATTTCTTCCACCGGTGGGGGAAGGGGGAATCCACAGATCTTTGAAATTGTTAAGCGTAACTTTTGTTCTAGTGGTCGAGCGTGTCAGATATTGATAGTGTACATGCTCCATGTGTATTTAATAATAAAAAACTCTTAATCTGCTAGTTTCTTTGGTTTCAGTTCTGGAGAGTACAAACGAAAACCCTTCAAAATCCCCCCACTCTTGCAAATCAAGTTGGAATGGGCAGATTTTTCAAACGCACTTCCTTTAGCGTGGTATTGACCTACCTTCCCTTAATCTGACGAAACTGACTTTATTTAGTCAGACTTTTTTTTTAATTTTTCTTCCCCCCGTTCTAATCAGATCGGATATATGGTGGGTATATTCAACATGACACTAGGTTTTCCCCATATGTTAATCTGACGCGCGAGTAACTACCGAAATCCCTTCATGGGCTCCCCTACTATAATCATACTGTCGTGGTGGCCCGGAGGTTGAAGACGCCCGCTTCTCATGCATGAGGGGACAGGTTCGAAACCTACCAACGGCAAGTACCAATGTGACTTTTTCCGAGTAATATGTACTTTCTAAGATTATTTAGACATCACTGACAAACGGTGAAGGAAAACATCGTGACGAAACCTGGGCTTATAATTTCTAATTATAAGTTTGTAATCCCCACCCCGCATTGAGCAAGCGTGGTGATTAATGCTCAAACCTTCTCCGTGTGAGAAGAGACTTTGCTCATCAGTGGGGATTTATAGACTGTTGATGATGATGATGATGATGAATCACATGTGTATTACCGAGTCAAGTGACGCCTGCTCGTTGTACCGTTTATCAGTATCTTTGGCTCGTTTTGCTAAAGCTAATTTGGTAGGCGTTTAACTGTTTTCATCCCATGGCAGTAATTTGCTGAACTATTGTCTTTTACATAAGACAGTTTCCTATTACCTCCGTATATCGGAGATACCAGGTTCAGATTTATCAGAGAGCCTTGCTGAGCCTTGTATACTTAAAAAGGCTAAAAATCAAAAACAAAAGCTATTTATTTACAAAAGAAATTTTAATATAAAAATAATAACTTTAACGACTACTAAACACAGGTACTGGCCACATCGTCCAATCGCATCGCTCGGAGACTAAAAATAACTTATTGCTTACAATTTTCTTGCTCACTGTACTATGGCAGTGTACAGCCGACGACTAAAGTCGTTAGAGGTGCTTACTTTTAGTTTTAGTTTGCTAAAGAGGTTTTTTATTTTAATTTTTAATTAAGCTTAGATTTAGTAACCCGCGTCCGCGTCGTAACTGCTTTTTCTGCTTTGGTATGTGCCTGTGAAAGAAGGTTTAATTTCAATTAATTTTATACACATTAAAATAACAATTAATTAACTTGGTTTATAGAATGAAAAAAGGATAAATAAGTATCAGACTATTTATTGCTATTGGACTTAAGTTTAAATTTTTAAGGTTAAATTGAAGGTATTCGTAATTATTTATAATTGCTTTTTTTAATGTATCACCGTAACAACTACTCCTGGTCTCCCGAACCCAAGACAGGTTGCACAACAGCTATTTGCACAGCCAATGCATCAAACGTGCATTCAAAACTCTTAAGACTGCACTAGATTAATAGTGCTATATTCACTATAATAAAAAATATTATTACCGACTTCAAAAAAGTGTCTGAAGTGTTAATGAATAATTTTGTATAGAACTTATGATGCCGACTTCTAATCTATCAGTGGGTGGGTAACCTATCAGTACTTAGTAGTTTTGTTTAGGTTTATAGTTTTGACTTTGTTATTAGATTTTGGTTTTTTGAAGTCGGTTTTTTTGAAGTTATCCACATACCTTGAGTGCTGTCAGTATATTGCAAACTCTTCAGGATCTCAGCAGGTATGGGTGGAGGGGTGGGCAGATGAGCTCCTTCAGCGCGGTATCCATTCTCATCAGCTATGTAGGTGACGGTATAGGTCTGGCCATCATCACCAACGTAGGAGTACGACCCTGAGACGGCTAGGGAACCTTCTTCGGGTTGGGCACCGGGGTATACACGACCTGGAATTTAGAAAGGAGTACTCGTTAAAGTTCTAAGTTCGAGTAGGAGTTAAAGAATAGCTGTGCTAAACTCAGATTTTTTTATCTGTACAGTTTCTATTTTAGAGTAGCTGTACATGCAACTTCGTCTGCGTTTTTCTAAAAGAAAAGTAGCCTATGTTAAGTATTAGTACAACAGCTACCCGCGAATAAAAGTGCCGTCAAAGATCCAGCCATTTCAGAGATTATAACCAGTACAACAGACATGCATGCAATATACGTATCGTATGTATATTAATATGCATGTGATGAATAGCGGTTATTACAATATTATAAACAGACACTAGAATTTTATTCATCTATGTAGATTTTGTCGCTTAACCGAACTTCTGGGATAAACACAAATCTTGCAAAGATTGTTCTTGGAAAGTGTAGGAGAGTCAAACATAAATTTTCTGCGGATAGGAAGTAATGAACGCAATGTAAACTTCCATAGTTCATTAAACATGATAGGTATAAGTAAGTTCTTTTGGCTAGTTACTTGGCCTGATTTTGAACTTCTAACTCTAATGAGTGTAACTTTTTTAATATCTTTATAAAGACTACATCAAAGAACGTTGTATTAAATATTTTTTTATGGTATGAACCGGTAAACGACTGTACGTATCATCACCTGATAGTAAGCAATAGGCATCGCCCATGGGACGTTACAATTGCGTTAGCGGCCTTTTGGGGATTAGGAATTTGACGATTGTTGGGGATTCGGGAGATTAGGGAGGGGGTAATTGGGCCTCCGGTGACCTCACTCACACGACGAAATACAATGCCAGCGTTGTTTCACGTCGGTTTTTTGTGAGGCTGTGGTATCACTCCAGTCGAACCATTGGAATCGAAGCATGATTCTCCCACACAATTTTTTAAGATATTTGATTGGCCGTCGTTAACCACTATCTCGCCTGGTAGTAAGCAATGATGCGGTCTACGATGGAGTACGTTGTCCCATAAGCAACCTATTCATTCGGGCCTTGAAGACACCCTTCAGGAAATACAGGTTTAGGCAAAGAATTAAATGAAACTTAAGTATACATGACCAGACCAGCTCATTAATTAGCTACGAATATGCGCATACATGATAATAACAATAAGAAAGAATACATAAGTACGACACAAATTATACAAACATGCAACAAATCAAATATGTTACTAATGCGAGTTACACATACATTTCGTCATACATACTTATTTATGATTGGGTAAAACAAACATACTGTATGTTATGTTGTCATGTCAAATGTCAATTTGTAACAAAAGTAATGTATTTGTTATTTTAGAGCTAGTTACAGATGGTCATTAACATTTAACTCAGACATGATATAACTGAGGAGATGTGTAACTATTGTGATTGTGGTTGGAGTGTGATTGCCTTCGGGCTGTGTCTGACCCGAGCGTACTGCGCGTCGCGTTCCGCGCGGGCCATAAGAGCCATCAGACTACTAGGCCCAATAGGGCTGATGCCGATTCGGAGTCGCGGAGAACCTAGCGGGTACCGGGGCTCCGGCTCGAAGTGCAGGAGTAGGAACGAGGTGGCTTTTAGCCAGTAAGAGTCTGACATTCCCTCCCAGGTGGGAGGGTGGGTGAGGTCACCCAGGCGGAAGATGTCATTCGATGAATTTCCCCTTTAAAAAAAAATAAAAAAAGGGCTGCGTCTGATTGCCAAGTACGAGGTGGCAGATTCGTTACCTGAATGATTTTTGTACAATTTTTAATTCTAGGTGGCCAAAGTTGGTTCACACTTAGGTAAGTGACTTTTAAAGATAAAGTTTTAATAACATAACATCACGCCTTTTATCCCCGAAGGGGTAGGTAGAGGTGCACATTACGGCACTTAATAATAATAACCTTTATTGTACACCTTAAATAAATGGAATATACATTAGCGTTATAATAAAAAATAGTAGGGTACAAAGGCGGCCTTATCACTAATAGCGATCTCTACCAGGCAACCTTTGGGTGAATGGAGCATTGTTCGATGAAAGTGGAGGTTGTTCTTGGTGTACTCAGGTACTTATAAATTATATGTACAAAATATATATTCTCTAAATAAATAGTATATTTAAAATAAAATATAATACCTATAATAATTAGACCTTATACATACAAACATATCCATATAAATATCCATACATACAACATATATATATATATAAATATATATATAGATATATACACAAATAAAAATATAGCACAGATGATGAATAGGTAACAGTAAAAGAAAAAACAAAAAAGAAATAGTAATGGACTACAACGTGGCGAGATAGTGGTTTTTCACGAGTGTTTTGAACGTAACAAGTGACTCTGCTTGTCTGACAGAAAGTGGCAGAGCATTCCACAGTCGAACAGCTCGTACTGTAAAAGATCTGTCGAATGATCTACTCGCATGCTGGGGCATCTCAAGCTTCATATCCTCCGACGACCGTACTGGTCTAGAATGTGTGTCATGGTAGAACTGGAAACGTTCTTTGAGATAGTGGGGGGTAGTAGGATTAAACAGTATACTGTAGAGTAAGGATAAGATATGAGTATCCCGGCGAAGGCGGATCGGCAGCCACTTGAGTTTAGCGCGATATTCGGAAATATGATCATATTTGCGTAAACCAAATATAAACCGTATACTAAAATTTTGGAGTCGCTCAAGTTTATCTAGCTGCACTTCGGTAAGATCTGGATAGCTGACGTCAGCATAATCGAGGATGGGAAGAAGAAGTGATTGAGTAAGCGCAATTTTAGTAGCAGTCGGAAGAAAGTTCCGAAGTCTACGCAAAGACCTCGCAGACGCAAACATTTTCCGACTTACTTGTTTCAGTTGAGGTTCCCAAGTGAAGTCTCGGTCCATGACAATACCCAAGTCTTTTACTGTGTCACTGTATGGGATTGTGGTACCATTAAAAATAATTGAAGGGATCTGCGACCACATAATTTTACAGCGTAAGCGGGGGCTACCGACAACAATGACCTGTGTTTTCGCAGGGTTAACTTTCAAACCATAGGTCGTACTCCATTCCGAGATTCGTGCCAAGTCCGTATTCACCATCTTTACTGCCTCGGAGAATTCATTAGGAGGTGCTTGTGAGTAAATTTGCAGATCGTCGGCATACAAGTGGTAGGAAGACAGAAGTTCATTAGAAATGGAATTTATAAAAATTGCGAAGAGTAGAGGAGAAAGAACGCCCCCCTGCGGTACGCCAGCAGCCGTATCAGACCAGGAAGAGTATGAACCCTCAATGGCGACACGCTGCCGGCGGCCAGACAGGTAACTACGAAAGAAATCAATCACAGTTGGAGATATGTTAAGAGAGCCCAATATTCCAAGCAGTATATCAAAATCAACGGTGTTGAAGGCATTGCTAAAGTCTAGCAAGGTGAGCAGAGTTAGATTGCCGTTTTCAACACCGGATCGTATGTCATCAGTGATATGGACCAAAGCCGTAGTGGTACTATGTCCCGGACGAAACCCGGATTGGTAAGGATTAAGGAGACTGTGTTTGGTAAGGAAAGCGCTTAGCTGGTTATAAATAAGACGTTCCAGAACTTTAGAAAGGAAGGGTAAAATAGAAATAGGGCGATAGTCGGAAAAGGATTCTGGATTAGGTTTTTTAGGAAGTGGTGTAACCTGCGCTTCCTTCCATGCAGAAGGGAAGACGCTGCTGGACAAAGAATAGTTAAGGATGTGGCAGATGACAGGAAGGATCTCATCCAAGACAGGGAGTATCATTTTGCGACTGATGCAGTCAGTCCCTACCGCATTGGAACTGATGGAAATTATGCTCTTCCTAACACTACAAGCTGTGAATTGATTGAAGAAAAATGGTGGATAGTCGGGAGCAGGAAGGGAAGAAAGATTTTTTAAGGTTTTGGATTTGATAACCCATTAATGTAAGGTGAAGAAGAAAAGTGCTTATTTAGGGATTCAAATCCAAGCTCCCAGAAATACCATCCTGACGCTGTTTGCCAACTCCCATAGTTTTTAGAAATGTCCAGACCTTGGCCGGATCGCCGTTTTCTACTGACTTATGAATATGGCGGCGTTGTGCGTCCCTACACATCTTGTTGCTACGATTCCGGGCTGCAATATACTCTTCGCGGTTCCCCGGATTAGGTTGGCGTTTAAATTTGGCCTTTGCCGCTGCCTTCTTATGAATCACGACCTTCAGGTCATCCGTCAACCACGGTGCAGGCACATGCTTCATTTTAACTGGTCGTATTGGAGCATGAATGTCATACAACTCAATTAACTTGTTGTTAAAGACATTAATCTTCTCATCAATTGCGTCAGCGGCAAGGAGCTTAGACCAATCAATGTTGCCGGCATCCTCACGAAGCCTATCATGGTCCATACCACTAAAATTGCGCTGAAAGAGAGTTTTGGGTTTAGATTTAGGAGGACAGATTTTGTACGAAAGAAAGATTAAGTCATGATAGGAAAAATTGTCAGCAGAACATTGTCCGTGCTTGACAACGTGTTGATCGGACGAGACAAGGATAAGATCAAGAAGAGAAGGTGAACAGTTAGGAAAGTGGTGAGTGGCACCCAGGGGAAGAAGAGACAAGTTGAGTGATTGAGCAATGGATTGAAGTAAAGAGGAGCGGGAATCTTGTTTCAGAAGACAGGTGTTAAAGTCACCCATTATTATGCTGTGACTGTAAGAGGGAGTTAAGTTCAGAAGTAAATTTTCAAAAGAGGAAAAATAGTCAACACGTAGTGAAGGACAGTAATAGACACCGAGCAATACTCTGGAATTGCGCAGTGTTAGTTCCAAGAAGAGATGCTCGCCAGCGTTCCGCGGCGGAGGCTGTGGTGACATATCAATTATTTTAAAGGAAATATTTGCTCGAAGATATATGGCAACCCCGCCACCGCCGCAGCCCGTGCGATCATTTCTTATCAACTGGTATCCAGGTAGAGAGTAGGAAGTAGAAGGGAGACAAGGTTTTAACCAAGATTCAGAGACAAGGATAGCATGAATATTCTTACAGTCAAGGTTCGCCAGCATATCGTGGTAATGAGCTGGAATACTCTGTGCATTTATATGGACTACATTAAGATTTTTCGGTACATCGGAGAACCGGGACTCAAGTGTATCAGCAAGAGATGGTAAACTTGTAAAGCTGTCATTATCAGTATTCGCAGAAGTAAAACTTTCATCGATACTCTGCATGTAACTATTCATCATTCAGTATTATTTAATAAAATATTATAAGTGATAAAATATATTAAAATAAATATAGATCTAAAATAAATAATAGAAAATAAAATAAATAAAAAAAAAATGTATAAAGTGGTACGTATGTGCAAGTATCACTTAGGTCCACCTGCCGGTTGCGTGTTATAATTTAAAGATATAATCTATGACTATCTCACAACACAATACTTCGCTCGGGTAAAAATTACAGTTTAGCCAAGGAGAAAAAGAGATGAAAAAATAAATAAAAAACAATAATAAGTAGATGTAACAACAAATATATATATCAAAAAGAGAAATAGGATAAAATAAAATAAGATCTAAAAGAGCAAAGAGATAAAATTACACATACGTGTACAAATTATCATTCATCTATAAAATAAAATAATGTTATTAAACATCATCTGCATTGATGTTGTCTATGGTTTCATAGACAATTCACGCATCCGATGTCAAACCTGGAACGCAACTATTAACTTGACGCTTGACAAGAAGTGTCAAACGTCAGAAACAGTAAACAATGTTTACATTAGAAACCGGTGAAGTTTCAAGAAGATAATTATATATTTAAAGGGTAAAATGCAATTTATAAGTTTTGAGAGGTGAAACGAAATAAATTCATTAAATAGAAATAAATACATTGTGAGGGTATTGGAGTTGTTGCTACAAACAAAGGAAATAGAAATGGATTTGTTACCCGAACGAAGCAAGATCAATGGGGTTACTTTTTATTGGCGCCGCGCTTCCCCCTCCGAGCCACAGCCGCAGGAGATCGCTCGGGGACTGCTGCAGGAGACTGCTCGGTGACTGCTGCAGGCTCGCCGATCTCACGCAAGTCGCCGAGAGTCAGTATGCGGTGTCTGATGCCATCCGGTCCCAGAACGTAGATGCGGCCCCCCTTAGTCCAGCAGTTCACCACACCAAACTTATCTCGCGCCGCCATGAATACCTGGTGCCGCGTCTTCGTAAGGAACTCGGACAAAGTGACACCCGTACCCTTGAGCTTGGTTTTGTTATACCACACCTTGTCTCGGGTATCCACGTCGTGCATTTTCACCAATATGGGTCTGGGCTTGGATTTGTTGGCGAAGCTGCCGACTCGGCGACATCTACGGACATCAGAGGTACCTAGGTTCCCCATACCGAGCTTTTCCTGAATCACATTAGCAACCACCGCTGATGTGTTCTCATTGCTGTTCTCAGGAACTCCGTGGATCAGCAGCATCTTTCTGCGGCCTCTCATCTCCTGCTCATCCATATCACGGGCAAAGAACTCCATCTGCCGCTGCAGGCACTCAAGGGCATCAAGAGTGAAACGCTTGAAGGCCCAGTAGTCCTGTGCCAGACCTGAGGTGCCGCCAGATGCAAGCTTAGATGGTGTACTGCAGTGTCCCACCTCAAATCTTGTCATTCGTTCTCTGAATTCTGCCCTCATCTCAGCCAGTGTTCCACTCAGTGCCTCCACCGCGTTCATGTTGCATAAAGTTTAATGCAGAGGTAGTCTTTTAGGTTTAGAAATGTCGTAACACACTAAGCCAGCAGGTAGTGCCTTTCAGTGAGTACTTATGGTGATAAATACTATTAAACAACAAATAAATTTATTTATTTTGGGAGAGACGCTTTCCCTGTGTCTTTCACTTCGAACACCTACCCGCAATTAATGCCACTGTAAAATGTAACACCCACTTTTCACTATTCATGTTATGAGTCGCATGCAATACTGCAATAGTGAGTGAACCTATTGCCATATACCGGGCACAATTCCATACTCCGTGCTACTAGTGAGAATTATATTAAAAACCCAGTAATACTTTGCCGAGGCACCTTGCCCGGCAGTCGTACTTGTGAGCACTCGGTCAACGAGCCATAAAGTTTTAATGTATTTGATTTTCAAAACATTTCCGTAATAAGTAGCGTAGCCTGGTGCATGAAATTGCGTCCGGTGTGTAAAGCTCAACCTGCATGGAACTGACTTAAATATATTTTGATCTAAATACAACTAGTGAAAAATTGTGATACATTCTGATGTGGCTATCTGTCGTACGTTTGCCCGCGTATCCTACTTTATCCAAAGGACCATTTAATCGGGATAAAAATCCTATCACCTAAGTCAGCATATACCCTGCCTTTATACCAAATATCATCAAAATCCGTTCAGTAGTTTCAGCGTGGTTGACGGACAAACATCCAAACAAACAAACTTTCACATTTATGATATTAGTGTGATTGCTTGCATCACCAATGTACTTGGTTTTCATTGGTGCAACTAATTCTGTTTTATTGAAATCGAGTGTAAAGGTTTTATTTGACCTTCGTTCTAAAAGCTCTGTACTTGTAATAAATTTTATAAATAATTTTACGAGTTAACGGTTTGAACCTTTCAAATTTCCATTGTACAGTAATTATTGCTTAATTTTTATGTGTCTAGACTAACTTGGATTTACGGTTGGCGCTGTGACTGGGCAAATGGGTGCCGTACAACGTTTAGCGGGTCCGATTCCCCCACGGAGCAACTTTTTGTGTGATCCACAGATTGTTGTTTCGGGTCTGGGTGTTATGTGTATGTGAACTTGTATGTTTGTAAATGCACCCACGACACAGGATAAATTCCTAGTGTCGGGCAACGTTCTTTATAAAAAGAAATCGATTCTAACTAATTCGAATTTCGTTTTGAACACATTTTAAGACAAAGTTTATAGTTAATGTTATAGGATAATAAGTACTCCATTTAATATTATAAGAAAGTAATGCGAAAGTTAGTATATTTGTAACCCATACTCCTTATCTAATACCTTAATCTTCTTGATATCCAGCATATGATGCTACTTTGCCAGTTTAACCTTTAACCCTTGTTGCAAGGTTCGAGAGGTTATAAAAACAATATTTTCTTACTGAAAAACCATGGACTGGTGTCATAAGCCACAACTGAATGGCTCATTGTAAATAATCATAGATTGCCAAAATGCAAAACACATCAAAAAATAAACAAAAGTAAAAGCTAACAGGCCCAAAAGGAGATGGCGGGTCGAATTGGACATCTATGACAAGAATTGGCCGCAAAAGGTCTTTCCCCTGCAGTGGGACGATCATGGCTGAAAATAAAATAAAAATAAAAACTAGTTTAAAATAAAACTAAATTGCACCCACCTTGTTGTTCGGCTTTAGTACCATCGCTGGTCTCAAAGGCATAATGGTATCCTTCCTCGTTGATCTCATTTTCGTATCTTAAGATCTCAGCCTGGTTTCCACCATATGCCTGTCCTCCACTGTAGGCTGCTCCTCCATAAGGAGTTTGCAGACCAGCGTTGGCACCACTTGAGGATCTCGCGTTGGGAGGTAGGAAGACATTGTCGAGGCGAGCAGATGACGCTGCCGATACCAGGGCCAGTACAATGAACTGGAATTGAGATTTGAGAAAAGGTGTTAGTAGATGTTTTAGAGGTCTTTAACGCTTGACTTGATTTGTGGTGGCTTTCATATTATTGAAATTAATTGATACACTAAATACGGACAAGTAACAATTTGTGGAACGCAACAATTATTCCTTTCGGAAATCTAACTCTTCATTTTAAAGCAGTTACCGTGAAACTCAAATGAACATAAGTGATATAGTACTTCCATTTTAAAAGTGTGTTCTCAGTGGTTTTTTTAATGTTTTGCTAAAGAACCGTTTTACTTTCAGCTTACTAAATGAAAAAGTGTGATCCACTAACAATTAACATATAAAATCTGAAGCAAATATTCTTAACTAAGTTTTATGGTAAACGCCAGCTGATTGAGGTGAAGGTGAAGCCGGGGGGAACGGCTAAGGTTTCGAATGTGACCCTTAAGCACTTCGGTCACGATCACAGGCAGGTATGCCTAACCTTATAGAAAAGTATGGAAGCTGGTTAGAATTTTAAATAGGGCTTGAGGAATGCAGAAGATAAAGTTTAAGGATTTTGTTATCAAATTAGCATGACATCACGCCTTTTATCCCCGAAGCGGTAGGCAGAGATGCACATTATGGCACTTAATGCACAGTGTAACACCCACTTTTCACTATTTGTTATGAGTCCCATGTAATGGAACCCAGGACTGCTTTGCTCGACCCGGAAATGGAACCCTTGCCCGGCAGTCGAACTTGCTACCACTCGGCCAACGAGGCAGTGATCGAATTAGCCACAGTATTTTTTAAGACATGCCAAACAAGCTTTCGGTTCTCTAGCTGAACCAGTTTCTATTGTACTTTGTGACAGTGTGCAAATAAATAATGTTTCTTTCTTCTTTCTTTCTTTCTTTCATTAGGTTCTGTGTTTAAAATCTCGAAATCCTTTCCTCGACCAACGATTCAGAAGCACTCACAAGAAAAGGATTCTACCAAAGCAAATTAGTGTAATAGAGCAGCTATAAACCGACAATTGCAATCCAAAAACGATCATATTCTAACCAAAGTAAGGCAGTAATTTGTAGGGATTGCTTCATTTTTTGGTGAAAATCACCCAGCCTTCCTGTTGTCTGCGGTCAGCGTGGTATAACGTCATCGTCATGATGAACATTCACACCAACAATATTGTTGTAGTTCTGTGCGGTTGCGTCTAGGAGTTTTGGTAAGGAAGCTTGGAATCTAGTCACATTTTCGAAATGTCGCGGTTTGGGTATGTCACGCCTTCTTTAACCTGAAGAGAGCTTTGAGGATATATTTGAGCAGGTAATTAGATAATAATTTAGTATAATATATATCTATACTAATATTATAAAGCTGAAGAGTTTTTTTTGTTTGTTTGTTTGAATGCGCTAATCTCCGAAACTACTGGTCCGATTTGAAAAATTCTTTCTATGTTGGATAGCTTATTTATCGAGGAAGGCTATAGGCTATAAAACATCACGTTACGGTTAATAGGCGCCGAGCAGAGCGAATACAGAAATGGATACGTGCTCATAAAATGTGACGTAACAAAAGGAAGACTTGATAATAATTTGACCTAATTTAACTTAGATATATATTACACGAAAATATAGAATAATTGATGCTAAATAGAGTGGAAACTAATAAAAAGCCAGACGATATATTTCAATACAAACAAGTTGATGAAAAAATTACAAAAGAGTAACGCTATTCGCAACACGACTTTTCATGAGTTACCGAAGTGATAATTTATTTCAGTTAGTGCCTAAGTTTTTGTCTTTAAGATTTAGTCAAGCAAGTAATAATAATTTGTCAGTTTTCGGTGACGTTTTTGTTTGTCTTCGATTATAATTCCAAATACTATATATATCCTTACTATATGTATAATATTATAAATCGGAAAGTGAGTTTGTTTGTTTGTTCCACTTTCGCGCCGTAACTACTAAACCGATTGCTTTAAATTTTTGCATACGTAAAGTTATAAGTCTGGATTAAATAATAGGGTACTTTTTATACCGGAAAAATTTGATATTCTAAAGGGAAAACGAAATTATTGGTATAGATGGCGCTGTGTGTATTGGTATATGTCACATAGGCTACTTTTTATCCTTTTGTGACGCGAGCGAAGCCGCGGATAAAAGCTAGTATTATATAAATATACTATAATAATGAATAATTATTATTGATTGAAAAAAATTGTCATTCTGAACAATTTGTTTATTAATTCTGAGTAAAAGTGTAATGAATGGAGTTTCTTGCTCGTTCTTCTCCATTCAAATCTTTATTTTGGAATGAACACCTAGTTAAACTGACGGACAGACTGACAGATTTAATTTGTATTTGTTGACGTTTCAAAAGTACCAAATTATGGTTTAAATGAAATAAATGCTTTAAATTTGAACTTTGGCTTTGAATCTAAAAATAGCTTCGAATCCCAAAAAATGCCATAAAAATTTAAACAAACAAATTTTTAGCGATAAACTAAACACCGTTATTGCAAGATTATAAAATACAAATAGATTTTTCAATTTACTGTCAAAAGTTTGACTGGGCGCACAAGAGTTCCAAAAATTAACACATAAACAAAACAAAATAAAAGAATCTAAAATATCACCAAAAAATGGTAATGCAATAAAAAACTGAAACCATTCCCTTCACACACAGTTCCTGAAAGGCACAGTTTACGAAACCACTGATAACGTACTAACACTCACTCAACTTAACCGACACTTGAGTTAGAAAGGCTTGCACTAATATTATTGCTAAACATAAACAAATAATGTACTAACGAATTTCATAGCTGATGCGTCCTCTAAAGATGTTGCCAGTGAAATGTGTTAACGAAGTGAATCTGCAGCATTTTATACTTCGGCATAGTCTCCTCAGCATCTTGAATGATATACATTCCGAATTGCATTCATAGATCTACTCTTTAACTGGATCCTTTCAAAACAAATTGCGCTTTATGTTCTTAAAATTAAAGCTTCATTTGGCTTTGGGTTTCAATTCTAAACTATTTTCTTTGCTAACAGGAACACGTACTTCTGTAGTGACCTTGAGAAGTATTTGAAATTTAGTTTTGATACACATAGATATTTTTTAGACGAGTCCTTTAAAGCATTTCGTGGCTTATGTTCTAAAAATTTAGATTTCATTTTTGATTGCTTCAATCTTAACATATCAGAGCACTGATTGATGAAATATTTTTTTACTAACAGGAACAAATACTTTGATATGACCTTGCATTTAAAACTATATTTCGTAGACCTTGCCAGATTAGGTTGGTAGTGTTCGTAGGGTGCTTCGAGATAAACTTAATGTAATATTTTTGCCAAAAGTTCCGACATTTTGAACTTACTCCCCACATTTACTGATTTTCTTTTTAAAATTAAAATAAAGTACTACTGGTCTTTTAAAAAAATCTCAGTAATAGCACGAAGTCTGGAATCGTGCCCGGTATATGGCAATAGGCTTACCTCGGATAATATAAATGAGTGAAAAGTGGATGTAACATTGTACAATGATATTAAGTGCTGTAATGTGCACCTCTGCCTACCATTCCGGTGACAAAAGACGTGATGTTATTATATCTTTTTAAAATAATTTGGGATGTCGGCATTTTTTACAATATTTTTTTTCGATTTTCAAATTTCCAGTACCTGAAATGACTCGAATGAGACAGTGGGTATGTTTTTGCAAACTGGTCCGGAGTAGGTGTCTTTTAGACGACCTGGTACCTCCATTCAGGTGTTGAGTGTGGTCACCGGGGTGGTTTTAGTGAGGTAAACACCCCACACTCCCTAGTCTTTTATCCCCAAAAAGGCTAATATCTTGAAGGTTTCCCCCGTAATAAAAAAAAGGATGTTATTGCACTCATACAACATAGGTAAGTACAAAACAAAATACACGCACTACAAACTCTCCTCCTATCAACCATAAAAACCTTGATACTACGTAATTCAAATATTTTAATGAATAGCATTTTACAACAACCACTATAATACACTTTTTACATCTAAAGGTTATATTCCATAATAGCTTAAACACTGTTATCAAAGTATGGCTCACTGTTATTTATAAAGAACATAATTGCGAGGAAGTTTTCAAGATAATTGTAATACAAAAGCTTTTAACTGAGACGTTTAAGATCATAACACTTAATAATGAGATGAATTATGATCTTTATCTTGCCATACAAAATTAACAATAGGGGATAGTGACTCAAAATTTGGTTTACTGTCCATCAGGTATACGTATTAATTAAAATTATAGGACATTTATATTTTACGGAGAATTGTGTGGTGATCGATGGTTTTAGGTCAAGTGTATTATCGACTGCCTCGTTGGCCGAGTGGTCGCAAGTGCGACTGCCGGGCAAGGGGTCTCAGGTTCGATTCCCGGATCGGGCTAAGTATTACTGGGTTTTTAAAAATCGCAGTAGTAGCACGGAGTCTGGAAATGTGCCCGGTATATGGCAATAGGCTCATCCCCTATTACATGGGACTCATAGCATAAATAGTGAAAAGTGCGTGTTACATTGTACAGTAGCATTAAGTGCCGAAATGTGCACCTCTGCATAGGCAGAGGCTGCATACCCCTTCGGGGGTAAAAAGGCGTGATGTTATGTATTATCGTTGATGTTCGATCCTCAGATCATCTTGAAATCGATTGAAGATTTCATCATTAACATAATCATCATAGTCATAAGATATTCACCGCTAATCATAGGTTAATCCAAATAAATGATTTCTAGATCGACCGGCCAGTAGCCGGGCCTGTATCCGTTAATCTGTCTTATGGGCTGATGACAGAGGTATTGCTCTGTGCTTTGCGCTATACATGGTGGCTAGTACGTGAATTTGAGACGAGGATTTAATACCCACTTGACTATTTATTTTGATCATTTTCCAAATCAGGTGGTTCACACTGAGTTCGAACAACACGCGCGCGTGATTCATGTCAGCAGTTTTTAGTTAATTAATTTTACTATAATAAAATTGTAGCAATAAATTTGTATTCAGTACACGTTCAGCTTCATGTATATCAGTACTCATCAATCATTGAAAATATAGTCGACGTGTTAGTTAAGTGCATCAATGAATATCATCTCACCGGACTATTTCCACTTAGACTCCAAGTTGTGTGAGACTCATTCAACAGCTCATACAGCAACTTTCATAAACACTCCATATCCCGGTCGCAATTGCGACTGCCAGGCAAGAGGTTTCGGGTTCGATTCCCGGGTCGGGCAAAGTATTACTGGGTTTTAAAAAAAACTCTTAGTAGTAGCATTGAGTCTGGAACTGTGCCCGGTACATGGCAATAGACTCACCCCCTATTACATGGGACTTATAACATAAATAGTGAAAAGTGGGTGTTACATTGTACAGTGGTATAATGTGCACCTCTGCCTACCCCTTCGAGGATAAAAGGCGTGATGTTATGTTATGTTATGTTATAAATCTAGCATAGCCATAGGCTACTAATCATAACCTCCAATTATACAAATATCTTCTAATACTAAAAATAATCCATTTTAAGCACCCAAAATAATCTTAAACGACCTTAACTTGGTACGAATGCACATCCTTTAACGTTTATTACCTAAATAACTGTTTATAGGTACACACGGCTACACATTGAGCTTTACGTAACCAGTATAAACTGAACGTTAAATGTGCGGAAAGATGATGCGACGCGACGCCAGGATAAACTGGTTTTGTATAGATTGATGTGCGCCCGTGTGTACAAGTACGTATTATGTACTACTTGGTGAGTTAAATGCTAGCTCGCTATTTAGTGGCCCTATTTCTATCAAGCGACATTTTGTATATCGATGCATAAACATGAGAATTGAAGACGGAATCAATGGCTTCGCGTGGTGTGTCGAATAATTCAAGATTTGAATTCTTAATTTTGTATAAATTATATTATAATGATTATAGTTTACTTGATTGTTGGATTAAATGGATTAATGGAATTAATTTACTCAATCTTTGTCTTTTTTTTAGGAGGAAAATCATCCATTGTCTTCTCCCGCTAGAGTGAGGCGAGAGGGGGTGTCAGACTCTTACTGACTAAAAACCACCCCGTTGTACTTCGAGCTGGAGCCCCAGCAACCCGTTAAACCTTCCGTGGCTCCATATCGGAATGAGCCCTATTGGGCCCCATTCGTGGTGGGTTTCATTTCGGTGTTGAAAAAATAGGGATGCTATTCCCATATATGTATATACAGAAATTGAATGCCTATCCTTAAGCTTTCTATAAAGGGAAGAGTTTTGAGAAGTTAAGAGCAATTGTCGTATTCCAACTAATGCTCATGATGACGATGAAGATAATAGAAAGTATTTTGAATATTTAAATCAATTATTGACACCTTCATATAATCAGTAACATCATGATCTAGAATTACGCTGAGTTTATGTACCTTATGTAGTTTATACACCTCTGCCTACCCTTAGGCAAATGCAGGCGTGAACGTTACATTTCTATGTAAGTAAAATTACTAAATTAGTTTTTGAAAAGCCAAATTACACTTAATTTTTAAAATAATAAGCCATAATTTATTGTAAAAGGCCATCAATCACTTTGATTTTTAGATTAAATGTTTAGAATTATTAGGTCCAGTAGCAATTACTAAGATCACGATGTTATTAAACTTTGCATGAGTAAAGTTCAATTAAGTAATTAATTATGAACATTTTACGAATATATTTATAGCATATACCATCACGGCTTTTATCCCCGAAGGGGTAGGCAGAGGTGCACATTACAGCACTTAATGCCGCTGTACAATGTAACACCCACTTTTCACTATTTATGTTATGAGTCCCATGTAATAGGGGGCCTATTGTCATACCGGGCACAATCCCAGACTCCGTGCTTTAGTGCCAGACCCAGTAGTACTTTACCCTACCCAGGAATCGAACCCGACACCCCTTTGCCGTCAGTCTTGCAGGCAGCCATGTAATAAAATTAACAAGTGACATTAACTACCTACATGCATACTTATAAGATACAGAAAGTGTATTAAATGACTGATGCGAAATACGTTCGTGCAATTTTCCCGCTCTGATCGGCTCCTATTGGTTTTAGTGTGATGTTTGAGGCAAAATATGGAGAAACTGTAAATTTTGTTAACACTTATATATTACGTACCCATGTTTGCAAATGATTAAATGAATATGAAATATGATTATATTTTAAATCGTTGAATTAAAGTGTTGAATAGTCCATTTATCGAGGAGGGCTATACCCTCCTCGATAAATGGACTATTCAACACAAAAATAATGATTCAAATCCGACCAGTAGTTTCTGAGATTAGCGCGTTCAAACAAACAAACAAACGCTTATATAATAATTAAGTACATAAGATTTAACACTAGACTACATAGTGTATAACAAAGTCGCTTTACCGTTATCTGTCTATGTATGCTCAGATCTTTGAAACTACGCGACGGATTTTGATACAGTTTTTAATAGATATAGTGATTCAAAAGGAAGATTTATATAAATAACACCACACGTGCAAGGTCGCGTGCAGAAAGCCAGTTTCACATAAGTCTATTAACATTTAATTTTGCATTATTAGATTATTCTAAACACTAAATACTTTTTTTAACACTCTTTTGCCTTGATACTGTGTAAACGACCATGTAGGAAATTAAGAAAAAACCGCGCACGCTTCTTATGAGGAATAACCCCTCTGTGGTTCGAAACTAGTAGAGCTTTTCTCAATATTTTCACGTGAGTAACTCGCAATTTTCAGTTAATTCAGTATGTCCCACGATAGATATTATAAAAATGTATGAAATTGGATA